AGCCTGAATTCTTGAAAGGTGACTGTTACATTCGTAAACCCCTCCTCTTAAGGAAGCTCCAGCCCTTTCTTGTTTTTTACTCATCTCCCGCTTCTGCTCCCTGTTCCAACCCCCTTTTCAGTTCTCCTTAAAAGCTAGACACTCACTCTAATCCAGGCCCTGCATTGGTTTCTGTACCAGGAAAAACCGATACCTGGAAGGGCCTGGTCCCGTCAAGGTTTTAGTTCCTGTTCCTATGCCGGTCCCGACCCAGTTCCTGTTTTTAATCCCGTTTGTCTTGGATGGTTTCATTCCCGGCTCCCGCATGCTTTTTTCCCCGTGTTTTCCTCACTCTACCCCGGATCATGCCGTCTGCATAGGGTCCTGAAAGAACACTTTCGCTACATTGACCAAATCATTCTTCAGGATACTGCAAGAGGTGTTGTTAGAATGAAACTTTAGTACAAAAATGTTTTAACTTTATTACATTGCCAGACGTTTAATTACATTTTCACCAACTACATAATACACAAAGAGTTTTTAACGTTTTGGAACATAAGAATAATGCTTCAATCAGTCATACTAATTTATGAACTCTGTATTTCTGCAGGTGTGTGAGAATAATTGTCTTTATTATCTTAATTAATATTCTCTTATTTCCATATTCCTCCTATGTGGAAAGCCGTGTTCTATGCATACTCTAAAAGTGCTTTGACCGTTTATTTCCACAGAAGCACCATCTTTTAAAGCAGCTTTGAAAAGGAGCAATTATTAGATGCTCAACAGCAAAAAATACTTTTAAGTTTAATTGATAATATTAAAGATTTAGATTCTTTGAAGCAATTTGTGCTCTCTCCAAATATTGAATTATTTTTCTTTATATTTTACAGAGCAATTATAGCATATAGCAATTACCATATACATAACATACAAGATCACCATTACAATAAATCCATGTCATTTTTACAGTAAAGGTTAAAATTGAAAATACATCTTTAACAGCATTTACATTAAGTGCATTTAAATAGTGACCATATACAGTGAATGCATCTTCTGAATTACTTTTTTTCAAATCCATTTATACCCAGGGGTAAATGTTATTATGAGTTTAAAACCATTTATTTAGCTTACTTGTTTTGAGATACACTTCAATCATTTCTTAAAAAGTTTAGACAACATAACGAGTGTCTAAGGAAGAATGAAGAAAAATATGTCGTCTGTCAATGGCTGCTGCAGTTTCCCTTATACAAGTAATATACTGCAGTGACTCAGGTGAATCCAATTCATTTATCAAGCCAGGTAACCAGCTGCTTGCTACAGCTCTTCAAGGAGATGTAAAGCCCACAGAACTGTATTATTAGCATGTTGTTCCAAGACACTGGTATTAAACTCTAATCATGCAAACCCTAATTCTCAATCAAAGAAATGTTATTCTAAAATTACACACTCCAGTGATACATCACACAGCAGTTACCCCATGAGTTACCTAGAGGCGTGCTGTATCTGCTTCAGAACAAGTACTATATGGTACTACTTGTTTCCAGCAGCTACTCCATTCCTTTTGATTTGTGAATCATGATGTGAATCATGAGTACTAGTAGAGACATTGTTTTAATAAAGGTATAACATATTTAACAAGTTACTGTACGGATTTGATTTGATTTGATCACGTTTCTTTAAATGGTTGACATCCATTTCAGGATTTTTCTTTCCTCTCCAATAAATATGGATTTATCAGAAGGACAAAGTTTCCTAAATTATAACATAAAATGAAAAGAGCCCCGAGATGATAACTGTTATAAAGAATTAACGGATGGGTTTATTATTTGGATTCTTAGAAGGAATGAAGTCTCGGTGACTAAACAGGAGCTAACAGTACATTGCTGGATACACTGCAGTTGTATGTTGGGAGGCATACTCTATTTACTGAATATGAATTAGAAGAGGTGACAGTGTCATGAAATCTCTAGGTTAATGTGACCTTCTCTGTCAGAGGAGTCTTGAGTGTTTAAAAATTAAATAATCAAGAAAATTAACAAATTATTTTGTGGAGTAAACTATTTAGAGTAAACAAGATTTTGTTTTATCTTTGAATCTCCATGTAAGCTATAAATTCCTGAAGCATATACAGTATGTATGGTGCCTTGAGATCCTTATGATGGCTGACCGTGTATAAATTCACATTTGCAGTGCGGAATTTAAATATTTTAAGGGTAACAAAAGCATTTGAGTATCTGATGTTTTACTACACAAATCTGCATGAATCCCAAAATGTAAGAAAAGCTGGTGTTCCAATACTGTACACAAACCATCATCTTCACAAAAGTGTAAACATACAAAGTGGTAAAAAAGTGTAAACTCAATTAACATGATGTATGAATTTATTATTATTATTTTGTTAATTATTCTTTTTTTAATCTAGATGTCACCTAGATTGGCGTTGCCTTTGTTTTCCTATTGCTGTAACCTTTACAAAACAATAGTTAATATCCAGACAAGTTGCACTCAACATTCAGACACATTTTTAAAAAAGTGTCCTAACAAATTTGCTGACTAACTGCAAATTGCAGCTCAGGTCAATGAGACCTTGAAGCAGGTTACATGAAATTATATTACTTTTCACAACTAACACAAATCAATCAAAGCCTAGGATACCAAGATTCAAATGTGATTGGAAGTGTGTGTACTAAGTATGATGCACTACTAGTCATTTACCCCTTTGCAAACTGAAACATCCTCAATGTTATTGGAAAACTAAAACACCCTTGTCCTTGTAAAAGAAAATGGTTCACCAACAAGGAAAATAACAGAAAATGCACATCTAAATCTATCTACAGTAGACATCAGTCTTATCAAAGTCATTTTATAAAGGTGTTATTCCCTATCTCATTTAGCTTAATAAATATAAAGTAGTCATGTACTAATATATCCATGCATTACCAGAAAGCCACTTAATTCTGATAATATAAGCAGCCTGGAGCTTATCCTGGAAGCACAGGGCGCAAGGCAGAACTACACCTTAGATGGAATGCCCATTCACTGCAGGGTACTTACACACATACGAGGAGAACACATACCTTGAGAGAACATGCAACCTTCACACAGAAGGTGTCCCCAGTCAAGAATCAAACTCAGGACCCAAAGCTTTGAGGCAGCTTGTTCTAACCACCACAACACTGTGCTGCCCATTTATCAATGTTGTTGGTCCAAAATGTATCCAACACTGATTTATCCTAGTGAGCAGCAATAGATATGTAAGTTCAAAAATGCATTGTCCATACTTTGGTTGGCAAAGATTCTGAGCAACACACAAGATATTCCCATTCCTTTTTATGGGGACCCAAACCTGCTGGTTTTGTTCCACCTGAGTAGTTAGTTTATATGGTTCAACTTTAAAAGACTTAATAATAGGCTGAATTTGAACTCTTTGTTTTCAGTTTCACAACCTACTGGAACTCTAGACACTCTAGAACTCAAGTATTGGGTTTTTCTTAAATAGCTTCAAATCTCCAATTTTTGAGTAGGAAAAAATAAACATTGCCTAGATTCTAACAAAGTAGGTTGTTCTTTTTTCACTTAAAGACTCATTTAAGTCAAGATCTTGGCTGTAATGAAAACCATCAGGTTTGTAGGTCCCCAGGATACAACTTTTTTTCCCCAAATGACATACCCCGAAGGGATAACTTCTGTATATACAATGCTTTTGGTTCCTGGAGGGTTATGTTATCAACATTGTGTCACTGATAATTGAGCAAGATGGCGGTGCCCACCTGATTAAATTTAGTTAAGTGTTTTTACTGCATGTATTAATATACAAGCGCAGAAATATTCCTGATTAGAGTACTGAAACAGTAAAGGTGTTTATAAGAAACTGAACACAGACTTGGCAATGATATTAGCCCTCAAGACATTTTGGAAATACCTGTACACAGAGGCTGCATTAGCGCTTATCATAAAATCGATACAAGCAAAGTGGAGAGGAAGAGGCGAACCATGATAAAGGTGTGGCCCACTGCTGTTAGTCATACAAATAGTGGTTTGGGAAGACTGCAGTTTACATCACGATTACCTGTGGGCCTTTCTTGTCATGCTTTTAAAAAAAAGCCGGAGGGTCATATTTTGTGAACTGTTGCATAGCTATAATTAGCGTTTTGTATGTTGTATTTAGAAAGATGTATCAGAACCATGCAAATTAAACTTAAGAAGAAGTACAGTTATTAAGGATATATAGAATCCTGTGCCTCACAAAATCAAAGTAAAAATACGCCAAAAATATTTCAAAACAAAAGGTAACAGTATAATCCATATTTGTGGGAAATAATACTAGGGATTCATATCCAATACTTTAGACAAGGCAAATGAAAGAAAGGTTAAACATAATAGAGGTGAGCACACATTAAGACACATTATTTTAATTCTGTGGCTTCATATTGTAATTTTTGGAAGGTGTTTAGTTATGGTGCTCCAACAGTTACACACACTTTGTTGTAGGATAGGAGCAGCTGCAGGTCACATTTTATCACAAGGATTCTGCCTAAGCAGGTATTTTCTAGGAATCCTCAAGTAGTGCTCAGAGTCTTTAGGTTTCCCAAAATTAAAATAGAACTTTCCACCCAAAGTCTTGCTGACTACAATGTACACTCTGTCTTAAGTGTGTTGTCATTACTATTTTACAAATCATTACTCGAAATAACTAAAGACTTCATTTTAATTTTATCTTTAAATTGTGTTTGTGTGATTCATTAAGGATTGCTAAAAATGGGTACTCGAACTACAAAAAATGTGCCCCCGCTCTAGGGCATGTGACAGACTCACACGTTTTTCTACTTATTTCTACAGGATGTATTACCACTCATACCACTAACCACTAATGACCACTTTGTTTTGAGAGACGCTACATAAAATTATTATTATTATTATTATTAAAAACGTTATTATTGGATGTAATACTACTACTACTAATCATCATCATCATCATCAACATCAACAACAGCACTATGGTTAACAAGCTCTATTCTCGGTCGCTGTGAGCCCTTCAGTCCTGTACTGCTCATGCGCTCTGTTCTCTGTGCACTTTGGATCAGGTGGAGGGTGACGAAGCTGTTTCCGAGTGTCTTGTTCTCTTGTGTTTGTAACATTTGCTGCAAAGAAAGCTGATCGTTATTATGGCGGATCCACGAGTACGGCAAATCAAAATTAAAACAGGCGTAGTTAAACGGTAAGTTGTCTTTTAAACCGTGGAGAACGGGATGTGGGGTATTGTTTTTGTTGGGCCTCCGTCGCCGGCGGCCTGGAGTGAAGTGATAGCCGGGCACCCGGAGCTGTTTACGGTTAAGGGACTTCAAATAGACATCAGTTTTTCTTTTAGGCGTTTAAATGTGCTGTTAAATGAAAAGGGTATAAGACAATCTAAGAAATTGCTTCAACATTTGAAGTGTCACATTTATTTTCTAGTTTCAGATTTTATAGTCTGCCTACTCACGGGGCCTTCTTATTTCATCCTATTCATTTTAACTGTTCCTTTTTCTCTCCTACTTTTCATCTCCCTGTCTCCCTGTCTGTATTATGATGATGACGGTAACTTCTATTTTGCAACCTTAGGAATGTGAGAGCAATGGTGAAATGCATCCAGCCCTTTTAACAGTTTTTTTATCTTTGGAAAATAGAGTATCCCAGTTACTTTTAGAGTGGAATCAGAGAACAGTAAAACAGTAATGCCTAAATTATTAGCTATGTGTCACTTCTGAATTTAACAATTGTCACATTCAAATGTTAGAATTAGACCACATTATAACCCTTACAAAGCAACCTTTTTATATATGTATGAATTGTTCAGCTTTGTATTGGTGTGTTGTAAGTTTTTAGATCTGATGAAATACCAAAAAATAATAAGAGTTAAAAGTGTATAGGTGAATGTTTGAACCTAAAAAATGTATATATTCACATCCTTTACTGTATTCTCAAACCTGACACTGTGGCGTTGGTGCAAATTGCAGCTCAAAAGCAAAACCAGATAGCACCTCGAGCTGGCCCATTGCCACAAAGTGTGTTCCATCCTCAAATCGACCCCTGGGAATTGGTACCAAGAGATGTTTGTTTTGGTTATTATTTATGGCATGGATTGATTATAATGCTTCCCTGTGGATATTTTTGGAAATTATTTTGTCTTCACCAAATTGATGGTCAAATAACAAATCTTGTAAAAAAAAAAGCCAGTCATTAGTCTAAACATACGTGGAAATGTTACTGCATGTCCACTGTAGGTTGTCTGAAATCTGTCTGCTTTTGCGTGTCTCTGTTTCATCATTCTCTTGTTTCAAAATGACTAAGCAGACGATGGCTGAACATGTATGGGAGTTTCTGCAGCCTAGTATAGACCATATTCTGTATTGGTTCTGTTTTGATAAGAGTCAGATTAAAAATGCATCTCAAATATGTCTTTGCAATGAATACTGCCAACATTCCCATGGGTTTAATGGATCACAAGGCTTGGCAAGAGCAACTGTAAAACATCTTTACAAATTATTCTTTTACACAATGTGCCTCAATCTTGTTTTGTTGTTTTACCTTGCTTCTGAATTTTAAAAAATATATTAATGCTTTGTTCTAAGAATATATAGCAAAAACTGGGCATCTGAAGAAATGTCACTATATATGTTTTTAGAAAAATAAAATATGGAGTTTGTATATTGATTAGATGTTTTGTGTCATTTTGATGAATTGACCACTCATGACTGACCTTGTTGCACTTAAATGACTTTGACTGTTGCCTAAATACCTCATTAGTGAGAGAGTTTATTGAGGAAAAGTACTGAGTTGATTAAACCTGTTGAATGTCAAGCCTTGAGAAGGAAGAAAGAAAAACACTATGAGAAACCCCTTATCAAGAGAACATACCTTTGTGTCATTATTTTGTCCACCAGTATTGGAGCCAAATCTGGACTATCCCAGTGGAAGATGGCAAATAATAAGAATTCCTTACACTTATATAGCTCTTTTCTGGACACTCCACTCAAAGCACTTTACAGGTAATGGAGACTACCCTCCACCACCACCAATGTGCAGCATCCACATGTGGCACCAACATGGAGAACAACAGAAAAATTAATGGGGAGGTTTAAATATGATGGTTAGGGCAGGGTTGTCTTGTGACTACTGAATTCTGCTTGTAGGACGTTGGTGGTAACTTGACCACATGGTCCTACATTGATAAAGTCAATCCTTCGTCAAGGAGAACACAAACAGACTCCGCATGTCCTTTAATGCTTTTGTAACAATGGCTTTCCTGAGCGATAAGTGCATCTGTTATGCCACACAGATGCCCTGCTCGCCAGGCTATTGCCTCTTTGAGCACCTGTTGCATGATTTGTGATGATGTGTGGTAGATCAAGCTCAGTGGACAGTGAGCAGGCATGTACTTCTTCAGGCTGTATGAGAGGAAAGAGACAAAATTCTGAAAGCCAACATCTTCAACCTGGTGTAAAGTATGTCACAGTTATATTGCTTGGAATGTCTCCATTGGTGGCCATTCATATTACTTGCCAGTGACTGTGATAAACCACCCAGCTGGTTAATTGCCCCCCATGTCACCTGTTGATGACAATTGATAATAAGAAAATGTATTTTTTGTGCATCAAATCTGTGCAATAAAATCCTAGTGCATCTGTTTCAAGATGATTTGTGAGAAGGAAAACAACGTTAATATTTCCCATATTTATTCCTCACCATCCTTCAATTCATGAGATTTATGTTATAAGAAATACAGCAGGTCCCTTAAATTGTTACTTCCCAAGTGTAATGTGGGCCTTGGAGCCCATGTGTGGTAGCCTGTTCTGCATCAGGAGTATTGACATTGAAAATGGGATTTATAATGACCACAAACCAATTAAAAACCTATGTAACATAAGCCATTTATTCCACTGTTTAAAATTCAGCCTTCATCACTCCTTAATTTAAATTGTTTTTCTAAATTATAAACCAGAAATAACACAGAAACTATGTTTGTAATCAATTGTGATGTTTTATACTTGTCTTCTACTTTAACAGAACAAAATAGTTCATGTATTGGGGCTTAATGAGTCTTCTAGCTTCAGGTTAAATGTATTTAAAAGAGTTCTTAAAAAATAAGAGTTGCAGGTGAGCTTTTTTGAGTTTCCATTACAGTTTATACACTTGCTTCTTTTTGGCTGTGTAAGCTGACATTGGCCCCTGCTGATTGCTTTCTAGGTCTAACTGAACAGTGAAGAGCTTCTCCATTTAAAATGACAACTGTATATATTTTTCATGTATTAGTCCTAAAATTAAAGCTGTCTAGAAATAATTTAGTCACAGAGGCATAGATGTGTCTTTTGAAAATGGGTGGGGGAAGGGGTGATTGAATGTTTGCATTTTCTGAAAATATTTAATTTTTGCAGCTGTTATTCATTTTAAAGTGTGATGGGACACATTTTAAATGAATTATCTGAACTGTGAAAGCTAGGTTAACAGTTTAAACTGAGCAGATGACCATAACCTGTGTAAAGAGGCCGTTTTTTATGCAATATAAAAAAATGTAAATATTCAAAATGTAGCAAGCCTGCTTAATTGCATAATTCCCAATAACATCACAAGGATGGTTTAAAATAGTGGTTGGTGCTGCAAACACACCCAAAATTCTGAACAGTTTTTTTTTCCCCCATTTACAACAAACATACAATACAGTACTACTTTAAAGATGATCTATAAAATACGCACATTTTATTTCCTCACATTTACAAGCTTGCCTAATATTGCTTTTAAAAAGTCCTTTATACGTTTTACCCTTTCTTTCCACCACACCTAATTTTATTTTGACAAAGAACTATATTTGTTTTTAATTGTACTTCGTCCTGTGTATTGGGAACATTTGAGTCAAACTGCGTTATATATGAAATTGGCGACACAATCTCAGTGTGCTCTGTCTGATTTCCACCTTAGAATGAGTTGCATTGTAATGGAACAGCACTGTCCTTATATTATACCAGGGATGTGTAAATGGAAAAGTGCTGTGTTGTATAGATTGTATTGTACTGTGGTCACTTGCACCTAGGATGGGTGAAGCACAACTGATGCATTTTTAGGCATCAGTCAAAACTAAGGCATGACTCCTATAAAAGAAGGTGATTATGCGATTACTATAGATTATATAAGCCCATAATAGCAGTGCTCCCCATAATGAAGTGGTTTTTTGGTGTTCACATTTTGTTTACTGGCCAGATGGGGACAAGGAAAGTTACTTTATTTTTTAAGAAGGTTATCTCTAGAGCTGTGATCTGTTATTCCTGTAGAAGTCTGAACATTTGCAGAGCCCATATTGCTTAATTCTCTATATTGGATGCTTTGTCATTAGCTACCTGAAGTTGACCAGACTCATCGTAGGGGTCTGTGTGCTATTACAAATGAGCATTACCTCTTTATCCGTCCTCAGTGGCTGAGTGGGCTGGTCAAACCTATTCTACATTTTCTGTAAAGTAGAAATGCCATTGCTGCTAAAAATAAAATTCTGTCAAGAGAGAACATTTTAAAACAAATGCAAACTTCAGTGTAACCGATGAGTTTGTTAGGGGTGTGGAAACAGTTCATTTCAGAGCATTACACCAGGCCTCGGGTAATTCAGCTTAAATCGACCTTGCTTTGATACAAAACGTTAAGCTAAATTACCTTGTTAAAAACGTGACTTTTTTTTACCTTGTTAAAAATGTGATCTGTCTTCACAAGTCAGTCAAGGGTAGAATGAATCTATGGGACCAGGCAATGGCCTATTGTTAGAAATGTTGTACTCTTGTTTTTTTTTCTGAATCAGCAAATCACACTGCTGGACAGAATGATTAAGCTACCCATGTTACCCAACCCAGATGGACTAGGTCTTTTTAAGTGTAAGACATTAATTCATTTTATTATTATCTGTTTAATATTTAGGGGTAGGCCTCGATTGAGGCTTCTACTGAGAAGAAGGAAGGAATTGTGTGGAAAACCACCGTAGAAACGATGTCTGTCCTCTGCTGGTGCACATCACTCTTATTGATCAGGAAACCAGAATTTAAAATATTTATTTTAAGTCTGTCCCTGGAAAGTTCTCTGATACTTCAGTGTGCTTTGCTGCAAAACTCTGAAGCAAGACAGGTTATTCACAAGAGAGGAATATGCCCAATTACAGTAATTTTCAATTGATTGTAAATAGTTTACAGCCGACGTGTGGTG